TTGGAAAAGAGCTAGCGGCGGTCAAACGAAAACATGCCACCAGTCAATGAAATCTACAACAGTTAGTCTAGGCCACCTAGGAAGGTGTATACTTCCTGGCTGGTTGGGGTCCTTGGTACGGTAAAAACCAATGGTTGGAAACAATTGGTGACATGGCTCAAAATCGTTCTCAATGGCTGGGGCAGATGCATCCACTCCTTGTGACTGACTTATGATTTCCAATGAAACTGTTTTGTTCATCGTTATTACTATTCCTTTGTCTCACACCTCTGTTTACTGTCTCTATTATGCATTCCTCCTACTTTCTTCTCTTTCTTTGTGTGCTACAAGGAGGGAGTGTGGCGACTTGAACAGCCGCACATATGTGCAAAGTTCTATGTCGAAAACCGACCGACCGACCGAAGCTCTGCAGAATGTGTGTGAAGGTGGTGTAGACCTGCTCCTTTCAGAGAGACTTTCTGACCTCGAGTATGCAGACGATATCGTCTTAATATACGGTATCATGCAGACTGACCAAATCGCACTTAATCAGTTGGCGATCATTGTCTGTAAGTATGGTATGTGCTTTGCGCCGTCTAAGTGGGAAGTGAGGTTACAAGATTGGCAGGAGCCTGTACCTGCACTCACTCTTGCAGGTGAACCGCTTGAAATTGTTGATAAGTTTGTGTATCTGGGTAGTTGTGTGAGTGCTGGCGGAGGGGTGACGAGGGAGATTCACAAGCATATAATGAAGGCTAGGTTGGCATACATCAACTTGAGTCGCCTCTGGCGCCGTCGCGACGTTAGCTTGGCTGTCAAAGGTCGGGTATTCAATGCTTCGGTGCGGGCTGTTTTGCTCTACACCGGTGAAACCTGTCCGCTCCAAGCTGAGGGTGTGCGGCGGCTCTGCATATTCGATCATCGCTGTCTCCGCAGGATTGCTTGCGTTCGATGGCATAATCGCGTGAGTAATTCTGAGGTCCGGCGGTGTGTGTTTGGCCACAGTGGTGATCACCATTCGTTGAGTGTCATCAAGTGGAAACACCAGCTTCGGTGACTTGGACATGTGTTGCGGATGTCATCCCAGAGGCTTCCGTACAGGACTCTGTTCGCTAGCACTGGGACGGGAAGGAAAAAGCGGAGACGTGGTCAGCCCATGTCATTCTCCTACAAATAACTTATAAGTCTTAACCTTCTGACGTTGAGCACCTTATGTTTTAGGTATTTTCAATTCCTCGTCGACCAGTTATATCTATCTATCTTCTCCTCCCACCTGCCTTTTCCACTCTGAAAGCATATAAACTGATGACAACTTAAACTTTAAATTGTGATGCTTACAACATTTCGGATATGTTGATTTTATAATGTTTTCGCTACTACTGTAACAACAGAAGACAAGGGTCAGGCAACAGAACCTTTATTACGGAAAATCAACACGTATTTATAGATTTTGATGTACATTATTGTAGGTCAATGTTAGTAGAATATACAGTCTGTTGATTGGTTGTTTCTCACACAAAGGTAACCTTGCATCTCTTTGTGGCTGTGTCTGTTCATCTATATGTTAACTGTATCCGCCTGTCCACCTAGACCTTGACTTCAATTACTGTCAACCAATTTGGCTAGCAACCATCTCTCACCACAACATGACTAATATTTGATACATAAACATTGACCTCAATTACTATCAACCAATTGGCTAGTAGACAGCTCTCACCACACTACTATTCAAACACTGAAGTGAAGTATGATGTTATTGTCATTGTTTATAACCATTGTAATTTCGGGTAGTGGTTTGCAGTTAGCTGATGAGAACCTGTGAAATAGGATGATGATATCACATTTTATACTCGAAATTTGGTCTTCATTTCATCATTAAAACTTATATCTGAAATTCTAAGTTATGTTGATTCGTGATATAATGATGTTAGAATTCAGGTGTAAATGAATTCCAGATTGAGTAATTTAATAACCAGCGAGTTTGTTCTCATAACCTGAAGGTCTTGGGATTGATTCCTTTTCGGACCGTTGGTGCCCATCGCCGAAGATTCCAGAGATAGGACGAAATAATTGTCCAATGTATCTCTTTTGTTTGTCGCAACTATATGTTTCCCTTAATCTCAGTGATTATAAGTTGTCTCTTGAAACACCTGTAGTTCTTCATGCCAGAAAATTTAGAACACACAATATTTGCGTATTACTTCCTTATATACTTTTCAATAGACTACATATTTTGACAGTGCATTTTGATCCCTGTCTAGCATACAACCTTTTAATTCAACCTCATTCGGTTCTCAGCATAAGTTTCTTCATGAACTGATATTATTATTAACATTGTTTCCTTTAATTCCTAGAGGAACATAGGGCTTCAGCCGTGCGTCTCCATTGCGTTCGGTTCCCTGCTACAGTCTTCACCTGGCTCCAAGTCTGCCTACACGTTTTCATCTCCTCTTCACATCACCTCCTCCAAGTCACCCTTGCAATGACGACCAACTTGCCGCTTCCCTTTCGGCCGGGTTCCACTCGAGCAATGGCTTGTCTAGTGATGTCACTTGATGGTTTCCTCAGAGTATGTCCTCCAATCCACCTACCTCTATTTCTTCCCGCCTATTTGTTTCACAGTCGGTTCCTCCTGGGTTGGTTCGCTCATTGCGAGAGATCTCTGTTGCTGATCTTTTCTGGCCATCTGATCTTGAGTAGAATTGAGCGAAGACAACTGTTAATGAAGGTCTATAGTTTGTTTGAGATGCTCTTTATGACGCGCAGTGCAAGTCTCTGATCCGTATAGCAAGTAGCACTGACTTCACATTGTAGTTGAAAATTTGGATTTTATTTTTGATGCTGAGTGCTGTTGACCTCCACACAGATTTGAGAGTAGTGAAAGCTTGTCTTGCTTTTCTGATTCTTGCTTTGATATCCTCGTTCTAACTGATATTATAGTGAGGTAATCATTGTATCTCACTTTTCTAGGCAACATCATTTTAACTACAGGTTGCACGAATACAAATGTCGAATTCAGGATCGGAAAAGCAAGACAAACACCTTCATTAACCGGAGATCAGTGCAGAAATCTGATTCACTCAGGACCAAAAAAACAAGATTTGGTTTTTCAACATTAATGTCAAGTCAGTCAGTCAGTTCTTCTACGTGGTTCAGAAATTTGGTGGTGTGTCACCGAAAGCACAGTTCCAATAGCCTGCTACAAACGTTTATCGACAGCTGTCCCTTCTGACCACACTGGTGGTCTGATAGCCAGATGGAAACGAAAAGCAACAAGGAACTGTGGCAGCGAACTTATAACTGCCCTAACAAATATGCTGAGGGAAATGGAGACGGATTAGATACACGTAGAGGAGACCGTTGGGCGAAATCACGCACCAGGCCTTCTAGTTGAACCCGAACGGAGAACGATGAGTTGGGCGTAGATGCGATAGTGACATGGCGGAATTCGTGTGAGTAGAGGACGATAGCTGATGAGCACTTGTGGAACCAGTTAAAGAGGGCCACAGAAAATAGGATCTAATGGTGATGTGCTGTTGAAGCCCCTATGTTCCACTCAGAACTTACGGGAATAATAATACTAATAATCGTCAGAACATCCGCACAATGAGTTGAAATTTTGACCGATACAATTACGACCCATCCTCCAAAGGTATCTTTGACTTTTTCCTCACCTTCAAATTATGTAAAAATTGTGTTGAAGTCATCTAAAATGCATCTGTATAGCTTCATAAACACTGTGTAAAAAGCCTATTACATGAACCACAATTCCACCAATGTCGTCTGATGAATCACTGAAAACCACGGAAGGCTCGAGGATCTGATTCTGTCTACCATAATTTAAATGTTATATATATAATACGTTGTCTATAGTTGGTTTGTAAGGATTAGATTTGTTTTTACGAGTTGATCACGGATTGATATCAGTTAGGGAACCATTGAAAACCAGCACTGGAGTACTGGACAGCTGTTTCATCCCAGTTATTTGGGAATCATCGGCAGTACCACCCACTGCCAGGGGTCAAACCCATGACCTTCTGGTTACAAGCAATCAAGCTCGTAAATAATTAAGCCACTGGGAGCCGATTCAATGACCAGCCCGTGAATTCTGGCTTCTACCAATTCATGATTTAGCGCGACCACCAAACAATAATGTCATCAATGGGAAATCCATCCGCATACTTGACTGGTTGGTCCTCACAGGTCACGACTTGTCACTAGAATTCCATCCTGTAGCAAGTCACTAGCGAGCATCAAAATAAATTTTCTATAGTTGGTTTGTAAGGATTAGATATGCTGTCCTAAGTACTCGATTTGCAGACAGTAGGTTAATGGTTCAATTCCTCTATACTTACTCCAATCACGATAGCTAACCACACAGTTTCATCAGTTCCCACACACAATGTGTGACTCACGATCTAGAACATATGAAGTCTGTTTCAGCTAACTGCATTCTAACTATAACCATGAAATGTGATCTCAGGCTTACATGACTAAATGTATCCTAATACGTATTTTTCCATACTACCAATGAATGTTACTCAATCACACAAATGATAAACTGTTTATATTAATCGTTGACCCCATGTATTGCACACTGATTCATAAACTCTTTTGAAGACAGTCAAGAGCTGTCTGTATCTTGTAATAGTTTCAATGGAAGTCATTGACAACGATTCATCTTGCCAACAAACTAGTGAAATGTTCTTCTAAGGACTCTTACCGACCATGCACATGGTCCGGGGTTCGATCCCCTGCCAATGCACACCCGACATCTATGGTCGGCCTGAAAAAAAATTTGGGCTACCGATATCCATGCTGAAAATTCCATACTTGTACTGAAAATACGGTGTGGCATCAAGCTGTAATCAAAAATATAAATACGAACTAAATGATTCCATATTTTCTGAAGAAAAAACGAATATTTGCACCGAAAATATTGTCAGTTTGTTTTCACTTTCTGTTGACATAAATGTGTCTTTCAAATCTGTATATCTGTTAATAAAAGATCAATAGTTGCATTAAACTTCAAATTGAAGGCCATCAACTAATGCAAGTGCTGTGAACAATGCCTCTCTATTATCTTGACGTGTTTTATTCAATCGAAATGCATACAGAGCAGCAGAACGACCACCTAATGTTTGATATTTTAAAAATTCCGGTAGAATAGACGATTGTCTTGGCTTATTCCAATAAATATCTTCAAGACGTTTAGTTTGTTTAATATCTTCATGAGCAAATAATAAACGTTCCATAGCAGCTGCTTTACACTCATTGAATGCATCATAATTTCTATTTAAATTTTCATCATCATTATATAATGTAGATGAAATAGCTGAATATCTTTTTAAATTTTGTGTAAAATAAATATTATGCTTTTCCAATGTATTCGGAGTTGGTTGACTTTCAAGACCCGCGTTTACTGAAAAAATGAAAGTATCAAGATTTAAACAAGTACTGAAGAAAACGAAACTGCAATGTTCAATATTTGAATTTTGGCGGGTAAATTGAGATTTTGAAAAACACACCTAAAACTAATATTATATTGTGAACAATTTCAAAGTAATGTGTCACAACTAAATAAATTATTTTGGAAAAACCCGAAAAAAGGGATTAATAATTCATTCACTTGGACACTGAGTATCACAACCTATGACTACTGACGTTGTAGTTCAAGTGAGTGAAGTTTTAGATTCTTTATTTAGATACCGCTTGTTTTTGGAATCCTGCTGCTAATCAAATTCTGATATAATTATTATTATTGTATCCTTTAATTCCTAGAGGAACATAGGGCTTCAGCCGTGCATCTCTATTGCGTTCTGTTCTCTGCTAGAGTCTTCACCTGGCTCCAAGTCTGCCCACCCGTTTTCGTCTCCTCTTCACATGACCTCCTACAAGTCACCCTTGCACTGACCACCAACTCGCCGCTTCCCTTTCGGCCGGGTTCCACTCGAGCAATGGCTTGTCTAGTGATGTCACTTGATGGTTTCCTCAGAGTATGGCCAGCCAATCCATCTCCATTTCTTCCTGCCTATTTGTTTCACAATCGGTTCCTGCTCGGTTGGTTCGCTCATTGCGAGAGATCTCTGTTGCTGATCTTTTCTGGCCGGCCATCTGATCTTGAGTCAAGTATCGAGCGAAGACAACTGTTAATGAAGGTCTGTAGTTTGTTTGAGATGCTCTTTATGACGTGCAGTGCAAGTCTCTTATCCGTACGTATAGCAAGTAGCACTGACTTCACATTGGAGTTGAAAATCCGTATCTTATTTTTGATGCTGAGTGCTGTTGACCTCTACACAGACTTGAGAGTAGTGAAAGCTTGTCTTGCTTTTCCGATTCTTGCTTTGATATCCTTGTCAGTTCCGTCCGCCTGCAGTTGAAACGATGCTTCCCAGGTAGGTAGGTAAAAGCGGTTGTTTCTTCCGGGTTCCTCCCATTTACGCTGATTGTTGTCTGTTGTTGTTGTTGTTGTTGCTGTTGGTGGTGTTGCCGGGGAATCTTCATCACCTCTGTGTTCTCTATGTTCACCTGAAATCCTATCATTGATGCTTCTTCTGATACTATCTTCAATCTTATTCACCTATTACATATACAAATCCGGAGGAGACTGATGGTCAGGAGCATTAAGATTGACAGGAAAAGACCTAATTTAACAGGTGGATCTCACAGCTCAACTGGTAAATGTGTAGGCCAGGCATTCAGTGGTTGTTGATGCTAATTCTATTACCACTTAGATTTTAATTTCACTTCCCATCATCAGACGTGGCATCAATAGTGATCTGACAATCGAATATAGTCTAACTGCCGATTAAAATTTATTTCGGTGTATATCACTAATGATTGTGCTCTGATAGTTTAGTAGTGGAATGCTCGCCAGCCACTTAGGAAGTCAGGTTTCGACTCCTGGCAGGTTCACACCTAAAGCTAGCCTAGACGGTAGTAAGCCTAGAAAAGGGCGAAAATTGAGCGTGAGACTAACAATCCCACCCCGTGAAAGACATAAAATCACTGCTACTGAAAATTCAGGGTTTGATGCCTAATGTTCCACTAGGAACGCAAAGGAATGTGAAACAGTTTTTTTCCGATTGATATTGGTTAGATTTTACTTCTAAGTAAATATCACTTTTAAAATTAGAGGAAGACAAAAGTCACCGCAAGATACTTCTTTGTCAACTTCAGTTGTCATCACCTACCGGTTGGAAGAAAAGATACCTCGTCAAACTGCCAAAGAAGGGGGATTTAGGCCTCTGCAAGAACTGGCGAGGAATAATGCTCTTCTCCACGCCAAGTGAAATACTAAATCGCGTCAGCCTGGAGAGAGTAAAAGATGCACTGTATACAGCTGAATTCAGAAAGGGCAAATCATGTGCTGATCAAATTGCAACTCTAAACATAGTCATCACGGAACAAAGCGTAGAATGACTGTCAAACCTCCCTCTACCTTAACCTCATCGACTTCGAAAAAACCTTCACCAGATAGCGTTGACCTATAAGTAGTTTAGAGACTACTTAAACACTATGGCGGGCATTACCCAAATTTTTATTAACCTCATTTAACAGCCATATGACAATGCCACATCTCAAGTGATCCACAATGGAAAACTCAGTGAGGCGTTCGAAGTTAATACAGGAGTAAGACCAGGCTGGTTAACCGGCAGCCTATGATCACCCACGATGACATTCTTAATTGTGATGGACCGACTGGATTATGCGTCAGGCTGTGGGGAGCGGGGAAACTTCCAGAAGATCTGGATTTCGCAGACGATATATGTCTAATGTCACACAAACCCGAAGACTTGCAGGCAGGTGTAAACCAATAGAGTGGGTGAAGAGGCATGTAGTGGAGACAGGACTCCAGGTAACCATAGAGAAGGTGGAGGTGATGAAGATACCCCCCAACCAACAGCAACAGCCAAAACAGCCAGTACAAATCACCATCAACTGGAGACATTTAACGAAGGCTGCTTCCTTCACTCATCTAGCCAGGAAGGATGGTTTCAACTACAGGCGGTCAGACAGCATGGATGAAGATGTCAAAGCCAGTCAGAATCGGAAAGGTGAGATACGCTTTCATCAACCTGGAACCAGTTTGGAAATCTTCTCCACTCATCAGCCAGCACAAACAACAAGGTTCGGATTCTATTCAACGCGAAAGTGAAGTCAGTCAGTCAGTTCTCCTATATGGGTTAGAAACGCGCAGTGCGTGTAAGGAAAAAGAATTCCAACAGGTTGCAGACTTTCATCAACAGCTGCCTTCACTAGCTGCATACTGAATATCAAACGGCCAGAATGATTAAGTAACAAGAAACTCTGTCTGGTAACAAACCAACGAGGAGCCGATCTCTGAGCAAATATGTAGGAGAAAGTGGATATGGATCGGGCATACGCTGAGGAGGCCATCGAATGACAGCGCGTGCAATGCAGGCCATTGGTTGACTGAAATCCGAATGGGAAGCGACGAGTGTGTCGTCAGTGCTAGGGTGACATGGAGGAGGTCGTGTGCGCAGGAGACGAGAGAGCTTGGGCAATCATGGACCCAGCTGAAGAGGATTGCAGAAAAAAGAACAAACGAGGAGGTGTGTTGTTGAAGCACAATGTTTCATTTGGATCCCAAGAGAACAATAAATAATAATATTTAACAAATAATTTACGTCATCTTCAAAAGTAGTTTAACTAAACTTACTTTCGAGATACTTAAGCTAACTGGAGTGATTTGTCGGTCGGTCGGTCGGTCGGTTTTCGACATAAAACTTTGCACATATGTGTGGTAGTTCAAGTCACCACAATCCATGCAGCATACAAAGCAAGAGAAGAAAGTAGAAGAAATGCATAATATAGACAGTAAACAAAGGTGTGAGACAAATGAATAGTAATAACGAAGAACAAAACAGTTTGATTGGAAATCATAAGTCACAAGGAGTGGATGCGTCTGCACCAGCCATTGACAACGAGGATTTTGAGCCATATCACCGATTGTCTCCAGACATTGATTTTTACCGTCCCCAGGACCCCAACCAGGCAAAAAGTCTACATCTTCCTACTTGGCTTAGACTAACTGTTGTGGATTTCATTGACTGGTGACATGTTTTGGTTTGACCACCGCTAGCTCTTTTCCAGCCTGACCCTATATCAGCTAACATTGCCTGTTGAGGAAGGCGATGACTGGACATGCGTAACACATGTCCTAACCATCTCAGTCGATGTAATTTCACAGTCTCATCGACTGATTTCCCCTTCCTACCTAGCACTCGACCGATGCCTAACCTCAATATTGCTCACCTTATTATACCACTTCACACGGGAGATAGAACGCAGACACCTATGATCAAAGACAGCTAATCTTTTCATGTCTTCCACTCTCTATGGCCAGGTCTCACAGCCATAAAGGAGGACGGAGCGGACTGTTGAGCAGTACACACCCCCTCTGGTCGACAGCCAGCCGGATATCACGTCTGCGCCAGAGAGGGAGTAAACTGGCATATGCGAACCTAGCCCTCTGTATTCGTGCCGAGATTTCGTCGGAGATCAACCCGTTGGGGCTGATGGTACTTCCCAAGTAAGTGAAGCGGTCAACGTGCTCTACCACTTCACTTCCTATTTCTAATCTAGGGGTCGGTGAAGTCCAATCCTGCAGCATCATCTTACATTTTACAGGGGCGAATTGCGTGCCAAACATACGAAGATTGTTGCTCAAGGTGTTCAGTAGACTCTGCATTTTGTCAGCTTCCTCGCCTAGAAGGACTATATCGTCCGCAAATTCTAAGTCGCCAATTTGACACCTATGGAATTCACTGGCCGCATAAACTTGTTAGGTATCTCAACTCAATATGAAATTTATCTTTATCGGTTTCTCTTGAAATGACACTTATTCTATGATAGGATTTCTTGTACCGAAATGTTATATCCCAATAATTTTCACCTATAAGTTTAAAGTGACTATATTTCGCAGTTATCGCGCACTCATGGTGTCCTTTGAATTTGCCACTCTTTGTGAAATTTTGGTGTCTTCCTTAACTCCTAAAATGTATTAATAAAAGAAATCTAAAGGAAAATGTCGGTTTTACTTACCAGGCCTAGAAAGCATCTTTTCAACGACAGTCGGTATGAATGTGTATGTCAAATAGGCAGTCAGGATCAGGAAAGTATGATAGACGGGCGTTCATTATTCTGAAATTAGTCTGCTAGTCTATAGAAATCAGTACAGTGGAGTAACATCTGAATTTTCAACACTTAGGTGAAGTCATTGCTTCTGTATAGTTGTAAAATTGCTGGGCCAGTCATCGAAACCATTTTCAACTGATTGCTGTCCCTGCTGGCTTGATTATGAAGATCAAATAACCACCTGGAACGGATAAGCCACAAAGAACTCTAGCCGGACCAATCAGCATGGTATTGTGGTGCGAGCTGTCTGCAAGCCAAAATTGTAGACAACAATTTACGTCAATGTTTACGTCCAGAATCGAGATCATGAGAAAAACAATAACAGAGCTTAACGTTGAGGAACTCAACAACCAATCACAGAAGACTTAACGTGTGCAAATACGATTCGCAGAAATATGGCATGACAAGCAGTACAGAATAACCTTCAGTAGGAAAACAACCAATCAGAAGACGTTGCTTCTCTGCTAACAATAACGCTAATAATAATGCACATAAAAATCTATAAATACCTCTTGATTTTCTCAATAAACGATCTGTTGCCTGACCCTCGTCTTCTGTCGTTACAGTTTTACCCAAGACATTTTCAGGAGGATATAAAGATGGACTAGGTACACACTGGAGAGACCTCCAGGTGACCTTATATGTTAGGGCTGTTGAGTGGAAGCCAACTAAGAAGCGACCAACTGGTTATCCCACACTGATATGTAGGCGATCGTGCAAAGAGGGAATGAAATGAAGTTATACCATTTAGGCAGTATGTTCAACTCAGTAGTCAAAGAAAGAAATAACAGCTTTTATTTTTATAAACATACTCATGAGTAATATATGTATATATATATTCAAAAACTAAGTGTTATCTTACCTATTTCTTTAATTTCATTAATAAATCCACTTGTTTTACTATCAGGTAGATTTTTAGGAGATCCATCTGACGGGGAATTAATCACAGTGTTTCGTAAATCACTCATGTTAACAGTCTAATGATGGTTTGATTAATCGTGTTTAAAACTTATTGATCCAACCGAATTATCATTAATATACTCACATAAATAATTATATTATCGTTATTATTGTAGACTGATGAGACTTTTAGAATATTACCGCATTGATAGAAATCACGTGATCACGCGTAAATGGCAGTTTTGAATTTGTTGAAAAAATAAGAGATCTTAATGTGAGGGACAAGTTTATGATATCTTTTGATGTATCCTCCTTGTTTACCAATATACCGTTAATGAAGACAGTGGATGTTATATGTGATGAGATTACTACACGAAACATAGACATCAAGATTTCTATATCCACCTTGAAGGAACTTATTTTAAGATGTACAATGAATGTTCATTTCTTATTCAATAAGGAATATTACAGACAAATTGATGGTGTAGCTATGGGTTCCCCATTAGGTCCAATCCTAGCTGATTTAACCCCCACTAAATTAGAGAATGGACCACTGAAAGGAGTAATTAATGACATGGATTTCTACTGTCGATATATAGATGATACATTTGTGGTTATGAAAGACGAGAATGATGCAATGAACATCCTTGACAAGTTTAATGATGCACATTCAGCAATAAAATTTACCATAAAGAAAGAATGTAATGACAGTATCTCATTCCTAGACGTCTTCATGGCAAGGAAAGAAGATGGCACACTAAGAAGGAGTGTGTATAGCAAACCTACAACAACAGGTCAGTACACTCATTTTTTGAGTTTTGTACCTTTGAAATATAAACGTAACCTGGTAAATTGTCTGGTTCATAGGGCTAAGTTAATCTGTTCAGACGACTGCCTCAATGAGGAGCTTAAGGTTATTAAAGAATTACTTAGAAAAAATGGTTATCCGGATAAATTTATTAAGAAGAATATGAATTCAGCATCAAAAACAGTTAGTATGGCTACAGTTCCGAAAAAACCAATGTTCATAAAATTGCAGTTCCTCGATGACAACATCAGCGAAATCATAACACAACGCTTGAAGAATGCAGTTAAAAGAGCTTATTATACAGCAGAGATACTACTACTACTACACTACTATCCACATTTTACGTTCGAGAAATGAGGAAAACTGCCTAATTTAGCCTCTTCTATGTGTATCTACCAGTTTGACTGCAGCTGTGGAACCAGCTACATTGGGCGTACAATTAGACAGGTTCATCTTCGTATTTCCGAACATCATCCAGCATGGTTAAGCAAGGGACAAACAAGATCTATTCGTTGTTCCATTTTAGCACACCTTGCTGATACTGAGCACAAAGTTGATGTTAATACTGAATTTAAAATTATTTATCGCATTCCGACTAATCTTAACTTTCCTCTACGAGTTCGTCTTCTACAGACAGCTGAGGCAATCGGAATCCACCTGAAGAAGACAAGCCTATGTGTTCAGAAGAAATTTGTACAGCCACTTTGCTTACCGTGGCCATCGTTACAAGACAGGAATACGTCGCCCCCCTTCCCCTATTAAATTATAATTGTCCAAATTATTTTATTTTTATTTTGACCACTTCATTTTCAATTAAATGTTATCCTTGTAAAATTAATTTATTCTATCCATTTCTACCTTTTAAATTTGTATTGATTTTCTTCGTTAATTTTCACCCCAATAACAAACATATCACCACTTGTTTGGTAAACTGTTGTGTATTGTAATAAAAATGCTGTACGTGTATATTAGAGTAGAGCCAGAGTGAGATGAGGATCTAACTGAAAAGTAAATATTTCTTCGCTCAATCTTTCTGTTATTCTTTTGTGTTGTACTCACTGACGATTATCAAACTGAGTTAATATGTCATAAGTGTTGACTGGGTAGTAATAATTATGGAAACACCTCACTAACTTAAGGGAAAATTCACAAAATTGAAAAAAAATCCCCGGGGAAATATAAAGATTATTAGATAGCTGTTCACGGTTTCACTTTTAGGGGCTATAGATTGAAGTTTGAAAAATCTGCGAGAAGTTTTTACAGTCAACGAATGACCAATGGATTTGTGAAAGAATGACTGACGCTTCAAGCAATTGCAATGTGAGTTTATAACCTCACTTGCTCCTGTGGAGCTAATTATACTGGTGTCATAAAGGTCACACTTTCCAGAGACATCTGTGAATTTTTATGTAGCATGGTTAGCAAGAGGACAGCGCAACACGGTTACTAGCTCATTTTTCGAGCACATGGTGAAATCAGGCCACACAGCTGCTCCAACGGGATTCTGACCTGCTCATGTGGAGCTAGGTATATCAGTCTCTGAACTCGGTTTTTGTTCAAAAGGGTGCAAGAATACTATCCTGCATGGTTACGAAGTGGTGGAATTGGAGCAATAAGAAGACCGACTGGTGAATATCTGATCGATAATGACCACCCTTCCTCTCTACAGCTTCAGCCTTTATAGTTATCTACAAAACGAAAATTAATTTGCCTAAATCACTGTGTATCCAACTTAACTGTATCGCTGAAGTTTTGGCCGTTGAAACAGAAAAGCCATATTTTTGTGTACAGAAAATGTTCGTTCAACTTTCATGGACTTAATCCTTCTATGCTAAAGTATGATAATCTCTAATAATATTTCGACTCTGCCAATTTTGGTATACTCTCCCTTTATTACGTCAATTGTTACTACTATTACTATTCTCACTTTGAACTGTCTCCGGTATCATTTCACTCGTTCCACTTGTCATTCTAAATCAATTCTGTTTAGCAGTGTTAAATTCTCTGTTATCAGATTTCATTGGATGGAGGATTTCATCATGAGCTGACATCAGTTAGAGAACCACTGGAAATATTTGGAGTACTGGACAACTGTTTCGTCCTAGTTTGGGACTCTTTATGAGTACGCACTCATCGCCAGGGTTCGAACCCAGCACCTTGTGGTTACAGGGCTAGCGAGCTCGCAGACCATCGAGCCACTAGGACCCGTTCCAATGGCCCATGACTTCCAGCTTCTGCCAATTCATGACATAGCGCGACCATTTCGTAATGTCTTCTTTGATGAGTTACTGCCTCATCTTCAGCTGCTGTAGCCTACTGGTGACGGCTTCCCACTAGAACCCCAGGTTCACTACCTAAATAGGGCCCGTCGCTAGTGAGCATCAGATTGATTTTCAAAATTCACACGATGTTACATAGCGTCTTTATTTTTATTTCATTTGCCTACTAATCTTTTAATTCCACACACCTTCCAAGTTCTTCACATCCTATGAATTGTTCTATATATGACATTAGTTGTTTTGCCACTTGACATTTAACTATGATTATAATCACAAATATTTTAATTGCATTTCATACTAATACTATTATTATTATTTTATGCATTCACACCCATGATCCAATACCCTCATCGGATGAAATTTCTCAAAAACCATATATGTCTACGATTGTACAGCTTGATAATAAATTCGCCGATTAGAGTCTCTTCGATGAATCATCACTTGTTTCGATTTTTTTGTATTCAATAATAAACTACTATGCGTTTTCATTAAACATAGATGAAATTATTTAAGTGGATTTAGATTTCCCCGTCGATTGATTGGACCGAAGTGCTAGGTCTCGGGTTGACATGTCGGCTGCTTCTTGTGCAGATGCTTCGACGATGTCTGGGCATGCAGGTACATCTAGATGACGAGTCCCAAATAGGACGAAATGTGCATCCTGGATTCCACTGCTAGATAAATTTACACAAACCTTGAAGATGATTTCGACGATAAAGAAAATTTTTTCTTCGCTGGGAAATTTATTTACTGAATATTTTTTACAAGAAGGTATAAAGTGAAAAGAAACAGTACGTCTCTGAAAATGCTTCTTACTGCCTTCATAGACTAGGATAGAAGAAGTAGAATGAAGTGGGCAACTAAGTGTTTATATATTTTGAATATTTCTATGAATTAAAGCATTCTAAAAGTATGAAAATATAAAAAATCCCTAAAACTAATGCCTATTTAAAAGTATGAACACTGAATCGTTTGTTTGTTCAAACTGATCTCTAGTTTGGCGGGAAACAAAAAGGCTAACACCGCTTAGCCGTGTACTGGTCGAGAGAAGGGTGTTGTTGTAGTTGTTTTACATTATATTATCTTTTACTTACAGACTTTGACAATGAGTAACAATTCTAAGTCTGTTTAGTTATCGGTTGAAGAATAAGCAATCGTGTTTCTCAATCATTTTTCTATTGTTCTGCACCGGTTATAGTGCATAGTATTCTGTCTATTAGACTTAGTCTTCCGAAACCAGTGATAGGTCAAGGATACTTGTAATCTGGATATTTGACAAGTATCATCTGATCGAACCTGTAAGATATCATGAACATATTACGTAATGCAGTTGTCTGACCTGTTACGCCGTATTTTCAAATATGCAACCTATAATTTTGGAATGCTTTAAATCAAAAGACAAAGAAAACAAGGCAACATGAAGTTTAGGTCAAAGTTGTAAGCAAGTGTACATCTGAGTAAGTATGACGGATCACTTCTGAACCTATGAAAATCAATGGTTCTCTAATTAATATCAATCTATGATCAAAAACTTGAAACAAATTAAATCCCTATAAGCAAACTCTTTAAAATTAATCCGATGCTTTCTAGTGACTGGCCACAGGACGAAGCTGATTGGAGTTCTCATGAGAATTAGTGACCAGTAGGGTCCTTCTAGTAGGAAGTGAGGACAAATACTCGGCGATGACATTGATTTGGGGTCGGGCTAAAAGCATAAATTGGTAGAAGTTGGAGTTAAAGTCGGTTCTCAGTGGCTGGTTGGCTTACGAAATTGACTTACAACCGGAATGTCCTGGGTTCGAACCCCGGCGGTGGGTGCGTACTTCCCATAAGTCCCAAACTAGGCTGACGGAACAGTTGTCCCGTTTCCCCTGCTGGCTTTCCATGCTTCTCTAACTGATATCAATATGTACTGAGTCTTGAGACGTATCACATCCCTACAAATAAACTTTTGAAAACTATTTTCTGATTAGTTCATCAT